GATACACCTGATACCAAAGATTTCCCTCTAATGTACAACCCTCCCTTTTCATTTTTAATTCTTACAGAATCTGGGGGGTTTTCCCCATTTCTGAGGTACTTGAGAGGTTCAGACTTCCTGGTACCAAAGATTTCCCTCTAATGTACAACCCTCCCTTTTCATTTTTAATTCTTACGGAATTTAAGAGTCTTTCCCCATTTCTGAGGTACCTGAGAGGCACAGAATTCCTGATACACCTAACACCAAAGATTTCCCAAAGATTTCCCTCTAATATACAACCCTCCCTTTTAATTTTGAATCCTTATGGAATTTAAGGCTTTTTCCCCATTTCTGAGGTACTTGAGAGGTACAGACTTCCCAAAACACCTGATACCAAAGACTTCCCTCTAATATACAACCCTCCCTTTTAATTTTCAATTCTTACGGAATTTAGGAATTTTTCTTCCACATTGTTTCCTTCATCTTTCAATGTAAAATTCCGTTTCTCAGCAAACCTAAAGTTTATTTGTAAAAGCAAATATCTTTTCCCATTCATCTATAAGTAGAATCCTTCCCGTTGTTTCTTTCCTCTCCCAGTGCTGCTTTTATCCACCAGCAGCCCCACAGCTTGTCCATAAAGACAAATCCACCATTCCTCTCACCACCAAACCCAGCCTTGCCCCTCTGGGCTTTAATTTACCAATTACCCCCGAGCTAAAAGCCAGACCTCCAACCTGCCCAGCCCCTGCGCACCAAAGGTTATGTTTACAATTTATTAATTATTATCACTTCTCATAATTGAACTCAAAGCCTCTTAGGCCTCCTCCTGCCCCTGGGGTGACTCTCCCCTGCTCCCAACACATTCCCACCCTTAGGGAAAATGTTGTTTATTATGCTGATCCCACAGCTCAGGAATACTCTGCTGACAAAGCCCCTATTAACCTCAGAGTGTGGGCCTGAGTTTCTCGGAGTTTCCCACACTTTCTTCCCTATTTAGGGCATTCAGAGGCCCACAAAGGAAGCGTGCCTCACAACAGCCCACATTAGTGACGCTTTTTTGGCTCCTCATTGTGAGGAGCAGCAATTCCTGTCCCGATGGACCATCTGGAGAGCTCTTTTTCCCAAGGAGCACATTGATCGATCAGTATTATGCCAAGGCCCTTTTAAAACTTGGGAACGTTATGCTCTTTGACACTAAATAGGTGTCTCAAGAGGGGTTGTCAGAAAGATTTTAAACCATTTAAGGGAAGAAAAAAAAAAACATTTTAAAATCGTAATTATTGCTTTAAAAACACCCAGTGGCATCTGGGAGACAGGCTGGCATGGATGTAGGAAATGGTCTAAAATGAAAATGCTCTGCAATTGGTGTGAGCTATGAGTTGTGTGCTGGTAGCCACAGAGGTACAGGGCTCTGCTTTTAAATCTGTGTGGCACAGACAAGGAAATCATGGGTTTGACAAGGAAATTCTGGGCTTGGCAAGGAAATTCTGGGCTTGGCAAGGAAATTCTGAGTTGCCAAGCTCTTTGCTGGTAGCCCACCCTCCTCCAGACCTGTTGCTCCATTGCAGGACACTGAGCTCCCCTTGTTAAGAAAATTAATCCACAAACACCACACGTTTATGTCCAAAAGGGAGATAGAGGAGTCCCTTTTTGCTTTATTTGAATAAAGGGAGAGGCCATGGGGCATTTCCCTGGGATTTCTCCAATTTTGGGGGGATGCAGCCTCCCAGTTTACCGGCCACATTTCCCTTCTCTCATTCCCCATTTCTGAGGTACTTGAGAGGTTCAGACTTCCCTGATACCAAAGATTCCCCTCTAATGTACAAACCTCCCTTTTCCTTTTTAATTCTTATGGAATTTAGGGGTCTTTCCCCATTTCTGAGGTACTTGAGAGGTTCAGACTCCCTGATACCAAAGATTCCCCTCTTAATGTACAAACCTCCCTTTTCATTTTTAGTTCTTATGGAATTCAGAGGTTTTTCTTCCCCATAGTTTCTTTCATCTCTCAATGCCTAATTTAATTTATCAGCAAACCTAAAGTTAATTTGTAAAAGCAAATCTCTTTTTCCATTCACCAATCAGTGGAATCCTTCCCCTTGTTTCTTTTATTTCTCAGTTTTATCTACCAGCAACCCCACAGCTGGTTTGGCAAGACAAATCCACCATTCCTCTCAAAAGTTAAAAGTTAAAAGTTGAATCCACGCATGTGCTTGTGCTGTTGCTGCAGAGAGAAGTGAAGAATGGGATTTTCTGGATCCCATCCTGGGATTCTTTGGATCCCTCCAGGGATGAAGGGACAGCAGGGGATGGGAAGGAAGGAGGATGCTGGACCTGGGAGGATGCTGGGAGAGGGGAGGGAAGCTCTGACCCAATTCCCAGCGCTGGAAATATGAAATGAGCGGGTTTAAGGAATGCCACGCTGTCCCCAGCACAATGCTCCCGAGGGCTGGGGGTGATTAAAGGCTGATCCCTTCCTGCAAGGGCCGGGCAGATGGTGCTGCAGGCGGGGGCTCTCCCCGGGACCCTCCCAGGCACACTTCCATTGTTGGGCAGCAAAATGGGAAATCCTGGCAGCCCCTCCATCCGATGGGAATGCTGAGCCAGGCACACAGCAGCCCTCTGCTCCCAAACCCCCCAAATTCCTGGGTTTCTCTGAATTTTCCGTGATATTTTCTGTATTTTCCGTGATATTTTCTGAAAATTCCGTGATATTTTCTGAAAAATACCTTTGCCGGAATTTCTTCTCCTGGGAAGCTGAGAAGCGTCAGAAAAGAATGAAAACAATAATTATCTGATTGCTTCTCCTATGTTTGCTGCTTTGGAATGTGGTCTAGAGATGGTTTAGCAACAGGTGAATCCAGAGGGGAACCTGTGGGATTGCTGTGAGCTGGGAACAACCCCAGGATTAATTCTCTTAACATTTTTAACTTTTTTTGTGTTTAACTTTTTTTTTGACTCAGAGATGGGGTAACTGAGAGGTGTTTTAAAATTTTTTATTCAATTTTTAGTCTTATGAGAAGGGTGAGATGCTACAGATATTATAATTTGTTATTATAATTTATAAAATTATAGTAATATAATTTATAAAATTGTAATAATATAATTTATAAAATTGTAATAATATAATCTATAAAATTGTAATAATATTTTGTTATAATATTAGAAGTTAGCTATTTTTTAATTACAATACACTAGAAGTGTTTCTTGGCCTATCAGCTTTAGCCACACCATACTATAAATACCTTAAAATTAATCATCTAAAATTACCCCTCATAAGTCCTACTACAACACACTTTTCATAATTCTATTTCTCTAAAATATCTAATCTTATTTACAAAACCATCCTCTAAAACTTATTTCTAATTCAATTTCTCTCTCAACGATGTCTATCCTCTTCTATTATATTTCTAAGTCAATATTTCTTGTCTCAAAATTTACATACAAATACAAGCTATATAAACCTTCTATCAAATTTTAAGAATTTTCTACAAATCCATTTCCCACACCTGCAGCAGGAATAGCCCCAGCACCAAGGAATACTGCAGATTACAAGCTGACAAAATAATTCAGTGAGCTGATTTTGAATGGGAGTTATGGTGTTCAGTTATAGTTTTTGACAACCATCAAACCATTTTGATAACCAAGAATTAAAATTGTTGTGCCCTAAGTGATCCATCAAAACATAAAATGTCTTTGGGCTGGGAAGGGAACACACCCGGCTTGTGGAAATTGTGGAAAAGGCTTTAAAATCTTCAGGTTCATAATTAAAAGTACAGGATCACCTTTAGCAGAATTATATCCCTTTATTCACCAGTGTGATGGGACACTTTGCTATCCAGGTATCCACAGACACAGGTTTGGCCAGGGGTGGGATGCTCTGATTATTAAATCAGAGGTTTCCTGTTTGATTTTGAAAGGCAGACACAAGAAATAAGCAGGATTTTCATCAATATTGCAAGAAGCAGGTGCTAAAAACCAGCATGAGGCCTCCCATGCCTGACAGATCCTGAACATGACTGGGTTTGTACTGGGTTGTGCTGGAAGGGGGCAGCAAACCTGAGCTGGCAGCTTAAAACAGCCTGGAAAAAAAATATAAATATTGCTGCAAGGCAGCTCCAATCCAGGATCCTGCCTGGTCCTTTTCCTTCATTACAGAGAAATCCCAAAACTGAGCAGAGTCACAGGAGGGCCTCACACCTGTGGAACAACCTGAAAATGGGATAATAGAGCAAAATAACAGCCAGGAATCGACTTTTCACTCCCTCTCAGATGTCTGTAAATGGGAAATATATTTAGGTGGAGGCTCAGGAACAGCGAGGCATTTACAAAGTGGCATGAAATTAAACAGGACGTGTTTGGGAAAGACATCACAATCACGACATGTCACATGTAGGAAAGCCCAGATTACCCAAACAAAAGCAAGGAAGAGCTCTGGGTATAACTTACAGAGGGACTTTCAGCAATACAGAGGAAAATATTTCAAGCTAACTGTTTGAAGGGCTCTCCCCTCGATTTTAGCCTGAAAATTATCTGGTACTGTATTCATCTAAGCACGGTTTAATGTCAATGAAAGGGTTTAGCCCCTCTAATTCTGCATCTTTCCCTTTTCAACCTCTCTTTGGGGCGCAGAGCATTATCTCCTCCTGGGATCAGTGTTCTGTGCCTCATTTCAAGCCAGCCTGGGAAAAGGCAGCACATTGAGATGTCGCAGCTCCCAACATCAGGCAGAAGCCGGATGATAAAGACGGGCAACGCTTTCCCACGTTCCCTGCCCAGCTCCGCGATGCCAAAGCCCATTGTGTCCCCCGCTCCCCGGCCCACCTGCTCCTTTGGGAGCGGGGTATTATCCCCAGGCGATTCACAGTCAATTTGCCATGCTGTAATGGATGCTTTCCCATTGTCCCGGGCACGCACGGATTGGCTGGAGACTGTGGGAAACTGCGGCTCGCTCCGGACCCAGACTTTGTAATGCGGCTGCTGGGTATAAATAGGGCAGATCCCGGCTGCTTTCCGCACTCCGAGCTGGGAGCAGCCCTTGGGATAACGCTGCTCTGTCCCTGGACGTCTGTCCTAAGCCAGGACAGCATCCCATGGCCCCGAGGGAAGGCAAGGTGAGTACCTGAGAAGGGAAGGGACACAAATGTGCGGGGATGGGGGAGCCTCGCTGCTCACCTTCCCTCACCTTCCCTTCTGTGTTACAGCTCGGCAACCCCGGGTGGGATTTACAGCAGCTGGAAGAAGAGATTTCAGAGGGACCAGCCCAGCTCTGAGAGGGAAAAAGGAGAAATCCTGGGAGGAATGGCTGTGAGCGAGCCGGGATATGGGTGAGGTGAGTGCTGCCCATCCCATCCCATTGATCCCATTCCACTGATCCTATCCCATTGATTCCATCCCATCCCATCCCATCCCATCCCACTGATCCCATCCTTTCGATCTCATCCCATCCCATTGATCCCACCCTGTCCCACTGATCCCATCCTATCCCATCCATCCCATCCCACTGATTCCATCCCATCAATCCCATCCCCTATCCTTCTCACTCCCTTTCCCTTTAGGAAAAGCCTCTCCTCGTGTAACATTTCCTCCTCTCCTGCCCTTGCAGCCCATTCCAGACGCCCTCAGCAGGATAATCCCGATGGGCTCCTCTGCAATTCCCATCCCTCCATCCCATGGAGAAGCTGAGCTGCCACTCCTGGAGGTCACAGGTGGCACTTGGGGACTCTGCCTCTTCCTCCACCTCCAGCACCGAAGCCTCGGGAGGCGCCAGCATTTCCCAATTCTGTGATTTTTGGACTTTTCTCATATTCCAGAGGAGCCCATGACTTGCTGTGCAAGTCACCCTTGCTCCTCTCTCGAGTAGGGAAGAATGTTTCCTCTTTTTTGAGCAGGTCATTGCTCTCCTCCCCTTCTCCCTGAGGGACTGCAGCCATCCCATGGCATAGAAAGTTGTTCTGAGGGAATGAATGTGAGCTGGATCCTCCTGCTGGGAGGGCTTGGCTGTTCTCAACCTCTGTGAGGTTGTCCCTGTACCTCTGCTGGGAAAGCTGTAACCCTGGGATGGCCAGAATTCCCAATTTTCCTCTTTCCTTTTCCTCCCAGGGAATCCACGCCTGGAATGTGTCTCACAGGACACATTGGAGAATCTGGCCTTCCCACGGTACCACGAGGGGTTCTATAATATTTATAATATTTATAATCGATAATATGTATAATCTATAATATTTATAGTGTGTACTGAGCATGCTCTGAGGATGGTTAAACCATATCCCAAAACTGTGTAGAGGAAATTCCTCGGGATGTCTTGCTCACGAGCCAGGGCTGTTTGTGAGGTTCAGGATGCGTGTGTGCCTTTTGTAAAGGCAGGAGCTCGTTTTTGTGTCCTTATAGGACTGGAAGTTACAGCTGTGCTGCCCATTGTAAAAGAAATATTTATTTAAGTCTTTCATGAAAGGCAGGTGTATAAATTATATTTAATTTTTGGTACCCTTTTGCAGGGGAAAGTGGGAATTTGTTACTGTCCTTGGAGGATGTTATGTTGTGTTCTGTGCAAACTGCACCAATGTATGACCTGTGCCAGAGTTGTCTTGAACATCAGAAGTTGCAGAGACTTTTAAAGGTCAAAAATAAATAAAAATCTGCTTAATCAAAACAAAGTAATTCTATTTTTTTTAAGTAGTTTTTACAGCTGGTTTCCCTGTGGTCAACTGACACGAGTCAGATTCCAGTGAAAGCAGAGATATTCATATTTAAAACCAAATTTCCCATCGGGACCTCTGCAATGCTGTTTTCCACAGCTAGGGAATATCAAACCCCAGCTCTCTCAATGTGAGACAAAAATAACAGCACGCCCGAGCAGCCAATTCTCTGGGAATTCAGAGCCAAGAAAGGTCACTGCGAGGGTGACAAAAATCATGGAATGGTTTGGTTGGGAGGCACCTTAAATATCACCTAACTCCAACCCCTTGAGACAGGCAGGGACACCAAACACAGAAAGTACTTTTATTTAATTTAAATAAAGTTTTCCAGGGCACAAATTCACATTCCTGGGGATGTATCCGGGCCATAAATCACCTGGAAACATGCGGGGGGTTAAAATTCAGGGGTTTGGCTACAGGGGACACACATGGGGCTCCTCCGTGTATCGGTCTCTCCCCGTCCCCGGGGGTCTCCTCGCCCCTTCCCTGCGGTCCCCCTTCAATTTCCCCCGGGGGTCTCTCCGCCCTTTTCCCCCTCAGTTTTCCCCGGGGATCTCTTTGCCCTCGCCGAGGGTTTCTTTCCAATTTCCAC